CAGGAAGCCTTTGAGTGAAGTACTTAAGCGAAGAGCTAAATTGACTGGAAGATTAAGAAATTGCCCTCCTTCATTCAAAACCAAGTCATCAACTGTTTGTTTTACTTTTACAGGTGGTGGAAGAAACCTATTGTCTAGTAATCTAAATAGGCCACTTATTGGACGACAGCATTCTGCATTTCTACATTTTACAATTTGAAGCAAGTATTGGCACATGTTCTGAATACCATTTAATGTCTGGAAAATCAGGAAGATCTTGTTCACCTGCCCCCACATATTTTGCATTAACATTATAGCCATCAATTTCCATTGAGCTCCATACTTCAGTTAATACATTTCCTGCAAATTCGAAATTAGATCTTTCTAAATGTTCATCAATTGTAACGCCACGTTCATCCAAATGACACCCAAAATGGTCATGAGGCAATATTAAACCAGCCAGTTCCTGACTAAGAGGAGCCATTCTGCGCTCTACTCTGTTATACGCACTTCTTCCAGGAGCATTGGTAGCTAAAAACAATGCATCGAGGTCATGTCGCTCAAAGTGTTGTATAACAAACCCTATGACTTTTTGATAACGTGGATTTTCATCTGGCCCTCCATCAACCGTCATGATTACCACTGGTTTTACTAGCCCATGGTCAGTTTTAGCTAATGGTCGAAACTCTTCAAGTTAGAGAAGCGTCTCGAAATCCTAAGCATGAGTATTAGCAGTAGATGAACTATGCTTTGCACTTCGAATAGCGATGTATGTTGGTCCAGAATATCCAACGGCTTGCGGTTGTCCTAGCATATTGGAGGTGATTTTGATACCAGCATAAACAGATGGTATTAATTTATGACGCTCAGCCATTACCGAATCATGATCAGGCAATTTGATTCTATATTCCATGTGCATTAGAAGAGGTGCTTGCTTATTTGCCGCAGTTACGCCAATAGGGACTCGAGCTTTATCATCTTGAGATATGAAAAATACTTGATGTGGTCCAAGTATGGATGCTATTTTCTCTAAATAATAGATTGATGTTTCAGCGAACTTGCTATCTAAGTGGCTCTTGTCCAGCGGTTGGGTTAGAGTTGGCTTGCAATTAAAAACATAACATTAAAGCTCAAGAAGACCATTCAATACCTTGGATACGGAGAACTGCTTCTTCACTCTGAAGTCCGATGGTTAAGTAGAGGACGAGTGCTGAAACTTTTTAATGATATCATATCTGCCATAGTTCAATTTTTCAAGCAACGTGACGAACCGATTCCGGCACTGGAAAATTCAATCTGGCTTAGAGATTTTGGTTTTATTGTGGATATTACAGAAAAATTAAATGAACTTAATTTGCAGCTTCAGGGTGAGACGAAGAACTAGCAGAAATGATTTCTGATATAAAAGCGTTTATCAAAAACTTGAATTTTGGGAACAAAAGATATCTAAAAGTCCATTAGAACCATTTAACAGTAAATTTCATGTATAAATAGTCTCTAACTTGGAGTATAACTTCAAAAATCGTTTCAAGGATTCCAAAGAAATTGCTATAGTCTCGCAATTTGTTGTTTCATCCTTCATGGAAATTGATTGAACAGTATGCCACTTCTGTTAAGCAGAATATTAGCGAAAACATCGCTGTGACAGAAATGGAAGTGATTGGGTTTCAAGATGATTATTATTAGTCTCAAATACAAAATGTATGTGGCCTTCAACTTATACTAAGAGACATATAAATCCGAACACCCAGTTTAAATGGTTTTATTTTAATAAAAGTTGGTGAATGTATTTATCTTACTGTAAATAACAAGTGAAAAAATTTTCAGCCTTATCAGTTGGACATTCCGGTTTTTATACTGCTTTTTTTAATTCATTAACGCTCTAAAAATGAATATGTCAGCCGCAGTAAAGAATCAACGTTGGCGGATTTTGGTTCTTGACATCCTTTACGATCGGTTACGATGCCTAGAGTACGGAGACCTGTACGATTTCGTCAACTTAGTGAGTTTGATAGGGGCCGTATAGTGGGACTTCGGGAAGCTGGACTTTCTTTTCGGGCAATTGCAGTTAGAGTGCAAAGAAGTGTAGACACTGTGGTTAGGTGTTGTCTGGCATGGCTTCGAGAAGGCCGTACGCAAAGAGCAAGGGGCACTGGACGCCGCCGTAGAACAACAGACCGTGAATATCGCCGCCTAAGATTATTGGCCTTAAGGGACCGTTTCTCCACTACCAGGTCCATTGCAAATGAATGGTTTGCAGAACACGGAAGACCTATTGGCATGCGAAGTGTTTACCGACGAATGAGAAGTTTTGGCTTGTTTTCATAATGGCCACACTGGATCCTCCCTTTAACTCGAGAACACCGACGTAATCGCCTTGAGTGGTGCAGACAACGGTCACTCTGGGATCATGAATGGAACAGTATTGTCTTTAGTGACGAGTCTCGATTTTGTTTAGGCATGCACGATGGTCGTGCCAGAGTTAGAAGGCGACGTGGTGAAAGGAGGAATCCACAGTTTTTTGTTGAAAGACATGTTCATCACACTGTTGGAGTTATGGTTTGGGGTGCTATAGCTTATGGTTCCAGGTCACCTTTAATCTTCATCAGAGGTAACATGAACGCGCAGAGTTATATCCACGAAGTTCTAGAAACCCATCTTTTACCCTATCTTGACACCCTGGCAGATCCAACTTTCCAACAAGATAATGCCCGACCACATGTTGCAAGAGTCACAATAGACTTCTTTCAACATAATGATGTCACATTGTTACCATGGTCACCAAGATCTCCCGACTTATCCCCAATTGAGCACGTGTGGGATATGATGGGTAGGAGATTGCTCAATTTGCAACGTCCTCCTCAGACTCTAGAAGCACTTCGAGAGGAGTTGGTGGTTGCCTGGAGGACATTGACCACCTGATCAGAAGCATGCCTAGGCGCGTTGGAGAATGTGTAGCACATCACGGTGCAGCCACACATTATTAAAGGTCAAAGGGCTTTAAAGCAGTGCAATCATTTTGAAATTTTTATCATTTACTTATTATGCTTCATTAAGTATTTATACAAAATTTTATTAAAATAAAACCATTTAAACTGGGTGTTCGGATTTATATGTCACTTAGTATATATACCGAAAAGTTTGGCGACCACTGATGTAAACGGTTAACCGCACACGTATGATCAACTTTGAAGCTATGCCATATATAACAAAACTACCGGAATGACTGAATAACTCTCACCTCTATATTCCAAATATATTTCTTGTTAATCATAGATCTGAATAGGATGTGCAAAATGCATAGTCAACCTACTTGACGCTATTTTTTGGGGGCCTGTTACCATATTGTGGTAAATGTGTAAACGATATTTGCATAAGTGAACGCACCTAATCAAGTTTCGATTTTATTTGAGTATTACAGGCCTGACCTATTTTTTTATTGTACTAGGGCGGGCCGATAATTATTCAGCCTCACCGCCCCATGGCGCCACTATCGCAAGAGAAATTCGCTATCGTGTATAATATTCTCGTAGACGAATACTGTCAAAATTTCTACCGAATCGGATTCGTAATTTTGTTTTGACCGCGTGTCCGCGGAGCTTAGAAAAATGGAAAAGAGCAATATCGGTCGCTGATTCAATTGCTGTTTTTGGAAGGGAAATCGAACAGCTCTTGGATGCTCTGTACAGTGATCTTCTCCTCCGATAGCCACGCGTAGTTTCCCTGAAAACGGCTACCACGGAGGATAACGTGAGCAGAACCCCCAGCGTTATTTCAAGGTCAACCTTCGATTTTCAAATAGAAATTCCCCTGGCAATCCAAAAAATTGAAAGTTCTGCTTATTAAAATCTAAATTCAAGGTCATCTCTACAGGCCGAACGTGTAAAGCCATGAAAAATCCGAAGAAGCTTAGCAGGATTATTGATGAAAAAAGAGTTAATAACGTTTAGCAAGCATTTCAATATTTATCTTGGATTTGTCCTTGAGCCTTACTTTCAAAGTACATGAGAACATTTTAGAACAAAAAATCTGCTACTGCCGGTGCCAAAATTAAGAAAATTGACCTTGAAACAACTTCAAAGGTGAGGTTGAATTTGAATCCAAGATAAGCATAGAAATCCTTGTTAAAAGTGACTGAAGACCTGGTGTGCTTTATCATTTTTTATCAATAATTTTGCTAAATTTCTAGACATTTTCCACTTTGACCTTCATTTGAATGTATAGTGATGAGCTTGATCTTACATTTTAGTACACATTCTGACTTAAAATCTACGTTTTTTTTTTTTCAAAAGTTCCTTATCTGGAAAAGTAGAAAGCCGTTCCGTTACTAATGTCACACCCGGTATAACAACTGAACTACCTGTGCAAAACATCTAGATCCTCGGCACGCTTTTGTCTTTATTTAAACATCAACCATAAAGATTTTCAGTGTCTTTGTCGGTAACAGCTTTTCTTATAACTATGACTTTTCGACCAGGCAACGTTGAACAAAATACAGGAAGCATTGCACCTACGCAAAACGGTTATTAATTTGGTATTATACAAGGCGTCCCAAAATTGAGCCAAATACCATGTCTGGAACTTTTTTTTTAATTGACATGCCCATACTTTATCGAGATTATATCTGATGTTTTTACTAATTGTATGGGCCTGTCTGACTAACTTGATCCGTTTAAGTTTTCTATTGTACATATCAGAAACTAGTTTTTCTTTGAAGGGTTTAACGTGTGCTGAACTTGATCCTTTATGACCTGATGACAGCATTGCTTTGAAAGTGCAGAGTCAAGCTACTTGACACGTTTTTTTATGCATCAAAAAAACGTAAGAAATAGTTTAATGCATTGCAAATCAGTTTGCGAATGCTGATCTTGCGCTGTTTGGAAAAGATCCGAAAAGGCACCACGCTAGTGTACAGTGCCGGATCAAGTTGGTGACGTTCAAATTCGCGTGCTCCTATTGGCCAGCGGGTGGCCACAAAAACCCGACACGAAACGAATGAGACCTGAATATATTACGGTCACATCGCTATGAAGTTCGGATCGCTCGTACTATAACCTCCGCACCACTCCCCACCTCGTCCCTGCGGTCCTTCGGGGTACTGGAACAGTTCACGCGACAATCTCAAGACGACGTCGTTGACGGCAGGAGGAACGCCGTTCGACGTAGACAGAAACAGCAGGAACGCGCCAACCAGCAGCAGGATTACGACGGTATTGTCCTGCAGGGCTAGGTGTCGATTGCAGGAGCCGTAGCCGGTCTGGAGATGTCAACGCCAAGACCCGACCGATCACACTGCTTAATCGTAAACACTTTTTTGCACGCGATTTAGAAGGAATTAATATTTTCCTTGAACTGCCGGTATACAGGGTGTTTGGTACATGAACCAACAGACGAGGTGGGTTGATAAGGGCCAGATTTCGCATATAACACACTCAAAAATAAAAAGTTCGATTCCAGACAATTATTGAATTTATTTGTGAACTTCAAGACGAGTATTTATTCATTATATGGGGTTGTCCAAATCGGACGCAGGAAAGTAAACGCATATTAAAACAAGAAAGATTGATATTCAAATGAAGTTGGGTACTTTATTTTGAAGGTTTATTTATACCATTTATGTATGAAAAATAATATCGCTCAAATGTTCACCACGACTGGATTTACAGAGGTCCACGCGATGGTCGAAATTTTCAATGACATTTTGCAACATGGTCGGTTCTATGGCATTTATCTCGGCAATGATGTTGTTCAAATATCCCCATAAAAAGAAGTCCAAGGGAGTCAGATCGCACGATCTTGGTGACCATGGCACATTTCCTCTGCGCGAAATCACGCGATCACCGAAGAAGGACTGCAATCGATGGATATTGACGTTGGTTGTGTGGCATGTTGCACCGTCTTGTTGGAAATAAACATCGTCCATATCCATTCCTTCAAGTTGCGGCAAAAAACAGTCATCTATCATCACGTGATATCGCTCAGCATTGACGGTAACGGCGTCCCCAGCCGCATTTTCGAAAAAGTAAGGTCCGATGATGCCTTTTAACCACAATGCACACCACACAGTCACTTTTTAAGGATGCATCGGCTGCTCTTGATACTCACGGGGATTTTCGTTCGCCCAGATGCGGCAGTTTTGCTTGTTTACAGTCTCATTCAAAGTGAAATGCGCTTCGTCGCTGAACATGATTGAAATTGGCATCAATTTGGCGGTGTTCAAGGCCAATCTGAGAACGTGCGGCGCGAAAAATGGTCGGCCCGACGCAGCTCTTGCGTCAATTGGATCTTGTAGGCGTGTACATTCAAATCCTTGTGGAGAATGCGGAGCAAACTGGTTCTCGAAATGCCCAATTCTTGGGATCGACGCGTTGTTGATTGTTTCGGATCGTCTCTCACACTCTCCTTCACAACAGCAATATTTTCCGGTGTGCGAACGCTCCTTGGCCGGCCAGCGCCTGGCAGATTTGCCACAGAACCTGCTGCCTCGAATTTACGCACCAGACGACCGATGGTTGTTTAGTTTGGGCGGTTGTTGCGACCGAAATGTTCACGAAGCGCGCGAAACGTGTTTTTTATTTTTGCACCATTTTGGTAGTGCTCTTGAATAACTTTAATGCGGTCTTCAATCGAATACGACTCCATAGCGATCAATGGTAAACATTCAACTAACAAAATGACATGTCGGTGACAGAAAACAAAGATGGCGTCTATGTCAAATTGACGTTTACTTTCCTGCGTCCCTATTGGATAACCCATTATAATATTTACGGTATAAATAATGTAATATGCTTCAGAAATTATTGCCAAGAAATAGAGTATTTAGCGCTTTTTGTGCATTTTTGTTGTTTTTCGATCTTTGAATCATGTTTTCCCTACGAAGCGTTCCATGAACCACATTAACTTTAATACTCGGTGAGTCTACTTATTAGAAGCTTGTATATGAGTATTTGTTTGTTATGGTTCAGTGAGCGCATCATTTCAAAAATACGTAATATATGCTGCTGGAAAAGTGTGTCACGGCGTGTTCAGACATGATTTTTCGCGCTCGAAAAGTATTTTTCGTAGTAAAGGTATAGAAACTGTGCTGTGCTGTCGCTTTCAACGTTTATTGAAATACTTGATAAAATAATAATGCCTGGAGGCCAGTGTGATTGTTGTAAAACGTGACGAGAAACAAACAGTGATTTCCGTAGCTTCTCGAACAAAAACATTATAGCAATACTTAGAAAATCTAAAAACTATGCATTCCGCGTGGCTCAATCTCAAAAGACTCCCACTTCATCTTCTGCAAGGACAACAAGAGTTCTTACTTCAACGAGTACCTCTGATGATACTGAAGGATGGTCTGATAGTGAAGAAAACAAGGAAGAAGATTTGTAAAAAATGCATTAAGTGTATGAAAACTGATTATCTTTTATTATTGTTTAATAAACATATATAACACTCAGATAATTATTTAATTTATGTTCACCACGAATGTCAGTTTTCATTTGAAATAAGTATGTTTCCTTCTTTTTTATGGAGTATACTCTTCATAAATATATATCATATATATCTATTCGCTGATGGGCGAAAAATGGCTCATATCAGCCCACCGCCTTTTTGTGGGCGATTCGGGACGCTATTTGATGATTTTCGATGGAAACTGCAATATCTCTAAAGGCGGTTACCGAGATAGTTTTTCGTTTTTCGTTATAACTTTTTTGTTTCTAGTGATAATGACACAAAATGAACGTGAGTGTGTTCTGTAATATGCAGGGTGTTTAAGTTTAATGTTGCATAACTTTAAGATTCGATAGAACTTTTAAAATTAATGCATAAAGTCTATATAAACATGGGTCGAAAAATGCGTGGCTTCTAAATTTACTTTCTAAAATAGTTTTTTTTAAATATTTCGAACAATATTTGATGTATAACAGTGAAAATTGGTATACAAGGGTTTTTTGGTACGACAAAACGAACCATGGGCATAGTTTTACTGTAGCCGCTTGAGGGCGCTCTCTAATGTACCTGTAGTGTATTAAAATGACTGAAAAATTTTTCTTAGAGCAATTTTTTGCTTTTTAAATGAAAAAACTGAGTTTTCACACTCTTCTGCATAAAAAAGCTCTCTTGTGAGTTTTCGTTATAGTTAGCCGTTTTTGAGATATTTTGATTTTTAAGGTTCGATGCATTTTTAATTATTTATGGGAAAATAATATTTTTTTTACATTTTCGATTTGGGCATCACAAATAATTAAGATGATCGTTTAGATTGTGTTTTTAAACACAGCAATAATTCCTAACTCCAAATAAACACAAAAAAACAGAATATTAATTTGTTTAATTTTCCAATATTATTTTTAACAAATTAAATTAATTATTTACAACTAAAATGCTATTGGATAGTTAGGACAAACATACAAAATCTAAAGTAGTTTCTCGAAATATAAACCCAATTGTTCAATACACAATTCACATCTAAGAATGATCGAACATGGTATAGCATTATTAAAATAAGGCCTTATTTCATCACATGCATTTCTGATTCTGTCTATTAGCATATCTCTTGTGGTTACGGAAGTCTGGTACACTTTTTCTTTTAGAAATCCCCAGACAAAGAAATCTAATGGATTTAGGTCAGGGGATCGTGGAGGCCAAGCGAGTGGTCCTCCACGGCCGCTCCATCTTTCTGGATAACTTTCGTCCAGCCAGTTTCTAACTATTCTCGAATAATGAGCTGGACAACCATCAAGCTGGAACCAGGCCAATCTTCTTAAATCTAACATGACATCATCCCACATATTTGCATGTTCAGCCTTTCAAAATTCCAAGAAGGTCGCAGCATTTAACCTTGCAGGCAAAAGGTCGATTACGGTAGATACCAATCCACACGTTCACACTAAATTCATGCTGAAAATTTCTTTCCCGAACTGCATGCGGATTTTCATTGCGACCAAATATGTTGATTATGAAAATTTACCACTCCACGTCTAGGTAAGCATGACTCATAGGTCCATAAAACGTTACTTAAAAACTCCCTATTATTATCAGTTCTATCAAGAATCCACTGACAAAATGTGATTCTTCGTTCTCCGTCCCCTGGCTGTAGTCCTTGCACAGGTTGCAAATGGGAAAGACGTCTATGGTCATTTCTAAGAACACGGTGAACATGGCTTGCTGAAATTCCCAAGGCACCAGAAACTCTCCTAACACTTGTGGTCGGATCTCTATCAAACTCACGCAGAATCATACGGGTAAATCTGCGCTGACGAACATTTATGTTTTGATCCCTTTGGAGATTTCCAAAACCATTTTCAATTATTTGGCGATGCACTCTTACAAATACTGAGCGAGTTGGATGTCGTCTGTTTGGAAATCTTCGTGCGTATTCTCTGGCTGTTTCTGCTGCGTTTCCATTTACAAAGCCATACACAAAATGAATATCCGCTAACTCTTGATTGGAGAATAAAAATGACATTTTTATAAAACTTTAAAAAAAAACAGGTAAAAGAAACTAAATTTCGTGCATTCACAATGCAAAAAAACGTTTCAGGTTTCAACAGACAACAAAACTAACTGTCAACTAATTGACGTTTAACCTTATTCTGCCTTCAATTTCAAAAATATTTGCAGGCACAGCCTACTTCTAAAAATTATCGAGATACTGATTTTTTAACGTTATTTAATCATAAATAATTAAAAATGCATCGAACCTTAAAAATCGAAAATTCACAAGAGAGCTTTTTTATGTTGAAAAGTGCGAAGAATCAGTTTTTTATTCAAAAAGCAAAAAATTGCACTAAGAAAAAGTTTTCGGTCATTTTAATACACTACAGGTACAATAGAGAGCGCCCTCTAGCGGTTACAGAAAAACTATGCCCATGGTTCGTTTCGTCGTACCAAAAAACCCTTGTATACCAATTTTCACTATTATACATCAAATATTGTTCGAAATTTAAAAAAAAACTATTTTAGAAAGTAAATTTAAACACCCTGTATTCCGGAAGCCACGCATTTTTCGACCGATGTTTATATAGACTTTATGCATTAATTTTAAAAGTTCTATCGAATCTTAAAGTTATGCAACGATAAACTGAAACACCCTGTATACTAAATCAGATCAGATAAACAGTTCTTACAAATATTTTCAAACAAATGACTTATGACCTTCCAAAGTGTATAAATAATATAAATTCGATTATAAAAACCTATACCTTTTTCGAAACCTAGTTTTGCATAAAAAACTTCTGATTTATCGCCTTTCCAACGATATGC